GCTGGAGGCTATTGAGGTACGTTGCATTCGGATTTCGTTCACGTCCTGTCTCTGAACTACGTTTGCAGCAAGAAAAAATCGAGGAACACCGCCGGCAAGCGGAAAAGCTTGCAGAAGAGCGTCGTAAGGCGAGGGAACAGGCTCAGGAATGGACGAGGGAGGTTCAGATGGAGAGCGACGAAGAGCGTGAACGGAAATCAAAGAGGGCTGCTAAGAAGGTAAAAGTCGAAGGGGATAGTGGAGATGAAGGGGCTGAACCTAAGAAGAAGAAGAGAAGCGGAGGCAAACTCAAAAAAGCCGTTGATCAGGATGTCGACAACGAGCAGCTCTTCAGCGATGATGAGGTCGACAGTAAACCAGCAAAGAAGGTATGGTATTCTGATCTACCTTGACTATGAAATACTGAGCTCCTTCAATCAGCGTGTCCCGAAAAAACGTGTCGTCAGGGATGATGACGATCAGGACGCCGTCGGAGGACCACGCAAAAAGCAATAGTACGTGAGGCATCTAGATCTCTTGAGCTTTTGCTAACTCTTTCGCCAGTAAAAGCAAGGAAATCATATCGGACACGGACGATGAGGAGATGTCATGATATCGGTAGAGTTATCAGTATTCTCTATATTGCTTTCGTTTGCGTTGTGCTCCTGTCGAGCTACACCTCGCCATTTTTGTTTGAAGCTCGGAATTGCTCCGTGTATATACACATATCATGTATCATACTTATCCGAAGCGAACGCCTATCTTCGACTCTTTTGTCTTTTATGTATCTCAGCTAGTAGCTAGATGAACAAGAACAAGAAGCCGTATTTTAGATGTAGCTGTTTGTTGTCTGTTTAATTTATGCTTATTACTGCTTTCGTCGACCAAGCTTTCCTAATAAACTGGTCAGAACTCCCGAGTTCTATGCTCAAGATGTAAAGCATTGTACCCCCCACTCTTAAGAGTTATTGTTCAAGATCCTTGGGAGATTCCACACCACCTCGCACACATAAAGTGTGTCATTCACCTCGAGGCCAGAGATGAGTCAGCCGACAACTTATCCTACATACTTAGTAGTACTATTGGAGAGTTCATTGATTTCGAGATGAAAAGATGACTACTAACCACCAATCAGGAACACAAGACAAGGTAGCATGCCTTACCATCCTCCAAATTAGACGGGCTGCAGAATACGGGAATAAAGTACGGCAATCTGTCAAATGTTGGCATGGGAAATTGTGGTGGAAAATGCATATGACAGTGTCGTGCCCAGGCTTTATCTGCACAGCAAGTGCCGTGAACCTGTAGAGACGAAGACAATGGATGGAACACACACCTTAATAGACAACTTGAACGATCACTTGGACAACTTCTTGATTTCTAAACTTTCCCTGTCTCAGCTATCAATCTGTACCTCCCGATCATCAGTGGTGCTCATCTGTGAGTGACAATCTTTCCCAGGAAAGGTCAAGGTAATAAATGTCATAAGCCTGCTCGCTGACTGGTATCTTGTATCCTCGTACAGATCCAACAGCGAACGCACGCCTATCCCGAGGCCGTTGGCAAGATCGATTTGCTTGAAACAAGTTATATCGTGAGTGATGCCTCATGCTCGTCTGTCGATAAGAGTTGAGATCACAAAGCAGATAGGGCAGTCAAACTCACCAGCAACCCATGCCCCTGAAACTTGCTCTGATTAAAAGAAGACCCAGCCGAACTGCTCTCGCACACATAGTCTGCAATTTCCTTGATTGAGATTCCCGAACGTCCACCATGTCTTCTGAAGAAATAAGGCCCAGCAAGGTGATATGTGGCCATACCGACCAAGTAAGAGGTGTTGTCCACCTATCCTGCGGGCAGCGCATTATCACATGTTCGACGGATGGCTCACTTCGATTATGGAACTTGGAGAATGGTGCACCGATAGGTGAAGTTTGGCGAGATGGGGGAGCCGGAATACTGAGCATAGCATTGTCTCCAAACGGCATGACCGTTGCAAGCGGAAGCAGGGACGGGACAGTAAGTTTGTGGGACATTGAGAAGGGGAAGGTCATTGCTAAATGGAAGGGGCACAGTCAAACTGTGAGATCAGTGTGCTGGAGTCCAGATGGTGAGCGAGTTGTGAGCGGAGGCTGGGACGGGACAGCCAGAGTATGGGATGTCAAGAGCGGCGGCGGCAAACCCGTTCCGGGTCTGAATCCAATAGAAACGGGGCACGGGTCGGTGCTCGTGGTGAACTACTCGCCTAAAGGAACGAACATCGCGACGGGAGGAGACGCGGGCCCGTACGGTGGAATCAGAATCTGGGATGCAAAGACTGGCAAGCTGCTCTACACAGTTGATACCCGACAACACACAGTTTGGAGCTTGGCCTGGACATCAGATGAAAAGAAACTTATCTCTGGGTTTGGGAATGGCTCAATTCAGATATTTGACACTGCCACATGGCAGCCCATTAATTCAGATGGTTACTACACGCGTCACAGGCAGCTTGTCAATGCCATCATTGTATCTCGCAATGGCCGACTCTTTGTGAGTACATCATCGGATGGCACAGCACGTCTCTGGAATCTCGACACAAACCACCTAGTCTATCCCCTCCAACACAGAAGTGACGTCAAATGTGCAGCCTTTTCTGCTGATGGAAAGCTGTTATCCACGGGTTGTGCTAATGAAAACGTGTATGTGTGGGACATTCAAGCCATCCTTAAAGCAACTGGCCTAGAAGACCTCCTGTCCATACCTGATAGCGTGAGTGTCGACATGTCACTTACCGTCCCACTGACAATTTTGATATCATTTAGCCACCAAAAGTTGAACCCAAACAGAAGCTGAATACATCATCTGGCTCTTCAAGCATTTCCCCATCCGAGTCGTCGCAGGGCATAGAAGACAGGTCGTTTCTGGAGGTACGCGGTGCACTTGTCAACCTCGTCAGTCGTGGTAATAACGTTGACATTCCAGGCTGACGCTACCCGAGGTTTCGGCCACCTCGGGGGCAGAGAGGAACTCCCACCAGGTTTTTTTGACAACACGCAACCCGATGTTCATGCACATGTGCGTCATCAACATTTCTGCTAATTAGTTCTTGTCCTGACTACTAGTCTCAGTTCTCTGCAACACCTGATGCCCATCCTAATTTTTCTGCACTCCTTGGTCGCCTTTCCTCGCTTCTTCGCCGCTCTCGACCCAATGAAGCGACCGAAACTCAGCAACCTCCAGTGCCTTCAGAGTCACGTTTGCATGCGCTCCTCAATCACCTGTCCTCACTCCCTCGCTCTCCACGTAACGCTGATGAAACATCCGAACTTCCGCAACTCCCAATACTTTCGCGTTTACATCCACAGGTGCTCCTCAGTCACTTGTCCTCACTTTTGCCCCGCCCTCGACTCTACACCGACGAAGCACCCGAACCTCAGCGACCCCACACTCCCCCAGTCTCACGTCTAGGTGCACTGATCGGTCGCCTGTCCTCACTTTTCCACTCTCGACCCAACGCTGGTGAAGCAATCGAATTCCAGCATTGCGCAGGGCCAGTTACCTCCTCTCATTACAGTTCCCATGTCGTCGATATTGCCACGATGCGGGACAGGGAGGTGCGTCTTTCTTGTGTGTTCTAATTGTTGGGTCCGACGATTTCTGTGCAGGTAATATTTGTTACTCGCCCGCCGGAAACTGCTAGTGAAATGGCCAAGCGCATCAAGAACCCTAAACCGTGGGTTCGCGTGGTATTGTTTCTCTGCTGCGTGTCTCCTGGTACCGATGTCGGTCCTGGCACCGAGGAGACACATTGCAGAACATAGACAAATATTTTTATCGAGTGTAACTTTTGCTGCTATATCAATACCAGTCTAATGTTCTTTCATGATTCCATTCCAAGCCATCTGTCGAGGGGTGCCATCTGTCATGGACACACTAATTAATGCTCACAACAGCAAAAGTACTACTAGCGCAGAACAACAAGTCTGGCCCGGCATCTTTTTCTTGCCCGAAGACTCTGATACTCTTCGTTGCGTGATCGACTGCGACAACCCTGGAGGCCTTGCCACATGAACTGCCTCAGGTATTCAACGGCCCCTCTCATTCTCTGGTAGAGTTTGTCCAAGCCGTGAGCGATACTCACAGTGAGTGCTTCCTACTAAAGAAGTCAAGGTGAGAAAAACGTTAATTTATGCATGGACCTTCGTTGACCAAGCTTTTCTGGTAAATTGATCAGAATTCCCGAGTGCTACACACTACTCTGCTCAGGATATAAAGCATTGGGCCAACCGTCTTCCTACCGTGTATTCAAGATTCCCCTTGGGGGATTCCACATTACCTCACGCAAATAATGTGTTTCGTTCACCTCGGGGGCGAAGGGGAGTTGGTCGGCAACCTGTTCTAGTAGCACTTTTGGAGAGCTCGTCAGCTTCGGAGTGAAGAGGTGGCTGCTGGCCAATCAGGGGCGCATGACAGGGTAGTGTACCTCGCCGTCCTTGAATCCAGTTCAAATTAGAGGGGCTGCAGAATAAAGTATGGCAATCTGTCAAATGTTGGCATGGGAATGATGTACATTGCAACAGTGTCGTACCTGGGCGTTTCATCTACACAGCAAGTGCCGTGAACCTATAAGAGACAAAGATAACGGATGGAACACGCACCTAGATAGACAACTTGAACGATCACTTGGATAACTCCTTGATTTCTAAACGAAACATTAGTTATATCGATCATCAATCTCCACTCGATCATCAGTAGTGCTTGTCGAAGTTGTCTGAACTGTAAGTGGCACTCTTTCCCAAGAAAGGACGAGTTTAAAGCCTACTCGCTGACTAGTATCTTGTATCCTCGTACAGATCCAACAGCGAACATACACACGTCCCGAAGCCGTCAGGATCAATTTCCTTGATCAAAGTCCCCGAACGTCCAACATATCTTCTCCTGCTGTTAAATGAAAAAGACACCAGCAGTAATACCCCACAGGACAATGCGAGGCCATACCGGGCGAGTGGAAGGCGTTGCGCACCTGCCTGATGGGCAGCGCATCATCACATGTTCTTTCGACAGCTCACTTCGAATATGGGACCTAGAGAGTGGTACGGGGATAGGTGACGAGTGGCGAGATGAAGGGGATGAGGCAGGAGCAAGGACCATGGCATTGTCTCCGAATGGCAAGACTATTGCCAGCGGAAGCCAGGATGGGACGGTGAGGTTGTGGGATGTTGAGACGGGGAAGGTTGTCGTCAAATGGAAAGCGCACTCCGAGTTTGTGAAGTCAGTATGCTGGAGTCCAAATGGTGGGCGAGTGGTGACTGGATCCTGGGACGGGACGGCAAGAGTGTGGCATATTGAGAGCGGAGAACCCGTTCAGGGTTTGAATCCAATCAAGACAGGGCACTAGCAAGTGTACGTGGTGAATTACTCGCCAAAGACAACAAAGATTGCGACAGGAGGATATAACGAAGATGGAATCAAAATCTGGGATGCAGAGACGGGCGGGCTACTCTCAACAATCAGAGATAAGTTCAAACTGCCAGTTTGGAGCTTAACCTGGACATCAGATGAAAAGAAGCTTATCGCCGGGTTGAGAAATGGCTCGATTAGGATATTCGACACTGCCACATGGCACCAGATTGCCTTTCTTGACGGTCATCAAAATGCTGTCTTCTCCATCACTTTATTTCCAAACGACCGTCTCCTTGCGAGTACATCATGGGATTGTACAGCACGTCTCTGGAATTTGGATACAAACCTTCAAGTCGGACCACCTCTCCGACACGAAAACCATGTCGAGTGTGCGGCCTTTTCCACTGATGGAAAGCTGCTATCCACAGCTTGTGATGATCAAAACGCGTACGTGTGGGACATTCAAGTCATCTTAAAAACAACCTCCTATCCATACCTGATGTGAGTGTCAACTCGACTCCCGCTCGCAATATCATTCCCAATGACTGTTAGGTACAAAAATCTGAACTTAAAAAGAAGGTATGTATCATCTCATGGCTTTTCAAGAATGAAACACACTTACATTCACATTCTAGGCTAATGCAACACAACAACGTCCAGCCCCTCGTCGCCTACTAGGCTTTTTTGATGACGTGCAAGACTGTGGTCCTGTGCGTCCATCTCAATTTTCCTGCAGCTCTTGTTCTTATTTATATTTTATTGATACTCTACTACCCAACGTCTTCAGCCCGATCCCGATCTACATCGCCGCCACAGTGCGTTTACACCCTCCTGGGGATCGCGTCGACGTGTGCTTCTCGCTCGCCTTCCCTCACTCTTCCGCCGTTCCCGACCCAACATCGATGAACCAATTGAACTTCGGCAACGCCCAGGGTCCAATACTTCCTCTTGTCGCAGTCCTCCCGTTGTCGAAGTTCCTGCACTAGATGACAAGAAGGTATGTTTTTTGGGGGGGATACGTTCTCAATGGCTGGTGTCTCAAGTTTTCTCCACAGGCACTGTATACTGCCCGGCGGCCGGAACGAGCTAGCGACAGGGCGAAACGCATCAAGAACCCCGCATGGTGGGCTCGTGTTGTGCTGTTTCTCTGCTGTGCATCTCCGTCCACCAACGACAGTCATTTATGGGCGTAGCGTATGGTGACGATCTGAGGAGAGGACCTGTATTGTGAATGCTTGCATACAGCCAGTGTACTGGCTAAGATGGAATGTAAAGTAAGGATGTCCCTATAATCATGTTTATGTCGCTGTGCGCAAGACATGTTGAGGGTAGTTCGACGTTGAACGTTTGGTCGTTGACTCGATTAGGGTTGATAACGCAGTGTTCCGGTTAAGCGGCTGGAGAGTGCTGCCGACCGGACTTGTGTTTGAACAGCAAACGACAGGGGCATTGTAGAACTGAGCATCTCTATGGAGATGCCAAGCTTCTTTGAGCTCAGATCACACCTAGGCCGCTGTAAGACCAAGTTTTCCATTGGTTTTTAGTTGATTGAGTATCGAGGGCTGTGCCTTGGCAGCTATGTTGCTGGGGTGAGTTATCACACCCTGGGATATAGACGCTGCTGAGGCTCGTCGATCAGATTTTACAACATCAGTTTGAAGACCAACAAGTCAGGCTTCATGTGGTCACAACAGCGCGCCCAAGTCTTCTTTTTCATGTCCTCTCTCAGCGCTATTTTAATCTAGGGATGGCGCTGTATCTTCACCAGATATCAATCACGAATTCTCAAGTAGGATGTCTCTGGCTGTGCAAACCGATGCCTGTCACCACCACACTAACACCACATTCCAAATTGAAGATTCTGCACTCACAATTTTTGGCGTCCTTACTATATGATACGAAAGTCCGATAACCGTAAGAAGATGCGCTAGGATCATTTTGGTGATGGCCACACGATTGTGATATATCTAGCACGAACGTCATCGCCATACGTCCACCAAGTTCGCCTCTCACCCGTACCCCCATTCTCTACCAGTATGACCATAATCTCAAATAATCCCACTGCGTGGCCAGTCATCAATGCATATCACTTCCGCAGCTATTTTTTTGGTTCGTGGATAGCAGCCAGATGTTGAAGCTGACGTCTCGACTCAACCTTGACTGTGGTTCCGCAGTTGCCGCCCTTGTTGGAGTTGCGTATGATTGGGGTGAGCATGATAATATTGAAGAACTGCTGATATCTTACAAATATCTTCAGCACTTACATTCGGACAGGAGGTACGTTGATGCGATGGTCGGAGTAGTCATTTCACTAAGAATGATTTTATAGGTCGAACTGATCTGGGTGAGTAGAGTCTCATATCAGAGGAACACATATGAAAGTACATTTGATTCCAGGGGCAACGCTGGTCTATAATGACAATTCTGTATCTCAGTGTGTGTAGCTTGCCTGTCACAGTTGTCATGTTATGCTGACTTGAAAGTATCCTAGGCGCGCTATCTTGGGATCCTATTTACTGCGTATGTTCGGCTAAACAATCAGTGTTGTGCTAATCGTTTAAACGTTTATCTCCCATAATCAGCCTGGACATGCTGAGTATGTCTCCTCAGCACACTCGCTTCTTCTGACCAACGGCATAGTACAGGCAGTATTCCGACCATCTTGCTGACAGATACAGTCAGTCTTCTGTACAGATGCTTGCTATTCCCCTCCAATTGATCGTAGTGCCCTGTAGGAGTGGGTGTGGTTCTTTACTAACTTCTTGGTTCACCAATGACTGCCACAGATGTGAGTCGGTTTGGAGTGTGTGCTACCCAAGTCTGATCAATGACTGGATTCCTTAGGCTGGATACTGTTCGTTGTATGGAACTGGACGACTGTTTTGGTACTTGCAATGTTGTGGGGTGCGCTTGGCACTTGCAGTAAACTTGACCTGACTGAAACATTGCGCAAGTCATCATCATCACTCGGTTACATGCCATGTATCGCGGATCCAGAAAGATCCTGATATTTCTCATCGTCACCTTCCTGGCTGAGAAAATCTTCAATGTAGTGGTTGCCGTAATGGCAACAATGCATACTTCAGGAGGTACGCTTAATTGTGGATGACAAAAGATATGGATGACACTGATGAATACCAGAGGAACTCATTCTTTCCGGCACCTATCAGTGCTCGATTAGCTACCTGCCAGTGGGAAATATCTCACTTCT